TGATCACCATTGGACTTAATGTTAAAAAAACAGAGATTCAAAGCAATATATTTACAGTCTGTTGATTTATGTAACATTACACGCTGTCTTAAATTATTTGGTGTATTCTGTCATTAATTGCTCTCTCTCTCTCTCTCTTGTTTGCATAAACCAGCTTTGTTTATTTTTGAGAATAATGCTTCTGGGTCCTTTATTAATGACTAGTTCAAGGGGTAAAAGAGCATACGAAAACAGCAATTAACACTTTAAATCGCTCTGCCACTTTAAAAAAAACTCATTGTTCCATAAAATTTCATGATATAATCAAACCAAGATCAAATATTAGTCTTGTCTGAATCCTTCAGCGCCTTGACCAATCAGCGTTCAGTGTGGGCAACAGGAGCCTCTACCTGAGCACGGACACGAGCACCTGTGTGATGGTACATGATCGTGTGTGTGTGAGAACTGATCGAACTGATGCTGATATATCCACAGTCCAGTCATCTGGACACTCCAGTCCAGTTAGTGGCGGTAATGCTTTATTAAACTGCCAAAACCCCAGAAGAAGAATGAGATTATGGCTCTGCGTTTCAAACGAAAGGATCTCACTGATGATTCTGTCATCGCTGTGTGTGAGATCGCGACGGGCGCGTGCACAGGTGCTTTATGGCTCATGATGCTGATGGGTTTACTTTTCCTCGGGAAACAAAATGGAATCAATACGACTTTTTCTCTGTTACATTTATTTGCACGTAGCCAATGTCCAGTGCGGTAAGCAAATTTAATATCTATTTTAATATAGTTTTTTTTATATATATATTAAAGAATGGCGCAGGTGTAGCCAATAATGGCGGTTGAATTTGTATTAAAGTTTTAAAGTGAAGCAACGACAGGGAGAGTTATTTTTGATTGAAGGAGATGAGAGAGAATATTTCAGCCCAATCAAAAGTTCAGCGAGTATTTATTTTTTATTTATAAATGTATTATTTAGTATCATATATATTTTTGCATATTAGTAAGGTTTTGTGCATTTGTAGCTTTCCTTCTCTCTTGTCTGCAGTTATGCTATAATATATATAATCTATAATATATATAATTATTATAACATATTAGGCTATAATCTGTCTCCTCATCATTGTCTGAAACTCTAGCACGAGCGGTAAAAGCTGATGTCATCATGCATTAAAACATGCATCATTATCGAAGTAACATTGCAAAGATTCTACCGGGGTCACTGTTGCCGCCCACACTTTGAAGAACGCGCGCGCGCGTGTGTGTGTGTGCTTCTCCCGTTATTTCCATAGACAGTAAAACAAAGGTTATTTCAATGAATTGGGTGGTTGTTTACAGCTGCGTGTATTTCCGGTTGTTTTAGCTCAGTTGCTGCTGGTTCCCCTCCTGCGGAATGCGATAGTAACGGGGGGAACCCGCATGGGCTTCTCGGTGTATTAGTGGATCGTCTGTCCCGGGACAAATATGCGGCGACATTAAATGGGCGACGCGGGAATTCGAAAAACTCGATGGCGTTTGAATGTCGATGCGTCATGTTCCCGCGACCTTTGCGTGGGACACTTCAGCTTGAGGAAGCGGGCACCCACAATGACAAAACTATGAATCTAAAGTTTCTATTGTAGATCAGTGTGTGTTTTTCCCTACTCGCTGGACTATACTGTAGTACTGTAAGATTGATTGAAATCTATATATTATATGTAGGCTATAAATCAAATTTATGTAGGCCAATTTTATTCTATATATTTTTATATGTATTTATCTATTTTAATCAAATGTATTTATTAGTTAGGCTATTTAAATCAAAGTGTATTTTGTTTTTTTTAATTAAATCTGCTATTTGTTTAAATGAATTTTAATTTTTTTAATCAAATGTAGGCATATTTAGGGGTGATATCAGCTAAATTGGGCCACTTTTTGGTAAATCGTTTGGGACAATAATACAATACCATATATGCAGTATCCATGTGTTTTTATGATTAATTATGACTGTTTTTGATACATCTGTGTTGAAATTTTGTAATAAAATAAAATTATTTAGGCCCTACAGTTCTTGAAACATCAGAAGTGCCGAGTTTTTTTGCATGAGCCGTTTCAGGTAAAATGGGCCAGCTGTTCAGGTAAAATGGGCCAGTCAAATTGCAAAGGGAAATAACAATTTATCATCAATTATATTTAAACACAATTTCTTATACAGCCAAATTAAACAAACTTAGTTCATATGTGCCATTTAAAAACAAAAATGTGTGTTTGTGTGTGTGTGTGTGTCTGTCTGTGTGTCTGTCAGTGTGTGCGTGCGTGTCTGAGTCTGTGTGTCTGAGTCTGTGTGTCTGTGTCTGAGTCTGTGTGTCTGTGTCTAAGTCGGTGTGTCTGAGTCTGTGTCCGAGTCTGTGTGTCTGAGTCTGTGTGTCTGAGTCTGTGTGTCTGAGTCTGTGTGTCTGAGTCTGTGTGTCTGAGTCTGTGTGTCTGAGTCTGTGTGTCTGAGTCTGTGTGTCTGTGTCTGAGTCGGTGTGTCTGAGTCTGTGTGTCTGAGTCTGTGTGTCTGAGTCTGTGTGTCTGAGTCTGTGTGTCTGAGTCTGTGTGTCTGAGTCTGAGTCTGTGTGTCTGAGTCTGTGTGTCTGAGTCTGTGTGTCTGTGTCTGAGTCTGTGTGTCTGTGTCTAAGTCGGTGTGTCTGAGTCTGTGTCCGAGTCTGTGTGTCTGAGTCTGTGTGTCTGAGTCTGTGTGTCTGAGTCTGTGTGTCTGAGTCTGTGTGTCTGAGTCTGAGTCTGTGTGTCTGAGTCTGTGTGTCTGAGTCTGTGTGTCTGTGTCTGTGTGTCTGAGTCTAAGTCGGTGTGTCTGAGTCTGTGTCCGAGTCTGTGTGTCTGAGTCTGTGTGTCTGAGTCTGTGTGTCTGAGTCTAAGTCGGTGTGTCTGAGTCTGTGTCCGAGTCTGTGTGTCTGAGTCTGTGTGTCTGAGTCTGTGTGTCTGTGTCTAAGTCGGTGTGTCTGAGTCTGTGTGTCTGAGTCTGTGTTCGAGTCTCTATGTGTCCGAGTCTGTGTGTCTGAGTCTGTGTCCGAGTCTCTATGTGTCCGAATCTGTGTGTCTGAGTCTGTGTGTCTGAGTCTGTGTCCGAGTCTCTATGTGTCCGAGTCTGTGTCCGAGTCTCTATGTGTCCGAGTCTGTGTGTCTGAGTCTGTGTGTCTGAGTCTGTGTCCGAGTCTCTATGTGTCCGAGTCTGTGTGTCTGAGTCTGTGTGTCTGAGTCCGAGTCTCTATGTGTCCGAGTCTGTGTGTCCGAGTCTGTGTGTCTGTGTCTGAGTCGGTGTGTCTGAGTCTGAGTTCCTGTGTCTGAGTCTGTGTGTCTGAGTCTGTGTGTCTGAGTCTGTGTCCAAGTCTCTATGTGTCCGAGTCTGTGCGTCCGAGTCTGTGCGTCTGTGTCTGTGTGTCTGAGTCTGTGTGTCTGAGTCTGTGTGTCTGAGTCTGTGTGTCTGTGTGTCTGAGTCTGAGTTCCTGTGTCTGAGTCTGTGTGTCTCAGTCTGTGTGTCTGAGTCTGTGTCCGAGTCTCTATGTGTCCGAGTCTTTGTGTCTGAGTCTGTGTGTCTGTCTGAGTCTGTGTCTCAGTCTGTGTGTCTCAGTCTGTGTGTCTCAGTCTGTGTGTCTGAGTCTCTGTGTCTGAGTCTCTGTGTCTGAGTCTCTGTGTCTGAGTCTGTGTGTCTGAGTCTGTGTGTCTGAGTCTGTGTGTCTGAGTCTCAATCTGATTTCAATTTGAAAATTGAAATTGAGTCTGTGTGTATTCAGTCTGTGTGTCTGAGTCTATTTGTGTGTGTGTGTGTGTGTGTGTGTGTGTCTTTGACACACACACACACACACACACACACACACACACACACACACACACACACACACACACACACACACACACACACACACACAAATAGACTCAGACACACAGACTGAATACACAAAGATGATGGCCCATTTTAGCTGAAACCATGTTGCCCATTTTACCTTAGTGGGTTAAGGTAAATTGGGCCGCCAAGAAAAACATCACTTTTACAAAAAATATGTTTATATACCAAACTAACAACATTATTTCTGATTAATGCCATCGAGACAGACAGTATGCATAGTTTTTTTATGAGCATGTTTGTTTTTTTATTGATGTATCATCCTTATAATAGTTCAGTGCAATTTGGTATGCCAGGCTACTTACCATGCAGCTTTCTGGTGTAGTCTCGATTTGAATTATTCCGCCGCCCACCATAGCAACCATAAACCAATCTTATCGCCTGTTATTTGTCAAGCACAGTTATGACAACAGTTTGAAATCATTTGCAGTCATTGGCTCTAAATTCCAGAGGAGCTGGGACCACCAAACCTTAAATGGCCCATTTTACCTGATGGCCCATTTTACCTGATATCACCCCTATTTATTTTTGTTAGTTCGATCTTATTTTTAAAATTAATTATTTTTTCCACAGTTTTTCTCATTGCTTTTATACAGATCTCCCGGCTGGGCTCCAGTCTGAAAACTACGGAAGTGTATTTCATTCCCTCGAGGAAACAAAATCTACTCTGTTTTTTCTGAATTAACAAATTAATTATTATTAGAAAAACAGAGCAAAAAATTTTTTCCATGACAAATTATCTCGTAATTCTGAGATAATTAACTCGTTAATTCAGAAAAACAGAGTAGATATTTTCTTCTTCAAGTGAATAGAATACACTCCCGAAAACCCCAAGTAGTCAACCTGTCTAATGTTATTAATGAAAAATACACAAGATGGTTCTGAATAAGTAAACACATTTCTTAATACAAAACTGCACAAACCATGGAAAATGCAACAGCATTTTTATGAAACTAAATATTTAATAATAATTGGGTTTTTTTCTACATGGAGTGATATAGCTGGATTGTATATTTTGGGATGGGGGTTTGTGGATAATCAGATTTGGGGATCCGTGGTCGTGTGTTAAAGACTGCACTTTGATCACTTTCCACAGTATTCTTGTCTTGCATTTATTTTCCTTCAGAGAGACATGTTCTCCAGTACATTTACAGCGCTCTCTCCAAACCTGCTGGATTCTCCGGTCCTCAGTTCAGTGCAGTGGGTCTGTATGATGACAGACGCATCTCTCACTACAGGAATGAAGAGCAAACCTGGAAAAGAGACCATCCGAATTCAGAGATCTGGACAGACACTGAAGAACCAGACGAATCTAAAGACTGGTTTATGCATCTGGTTTATACTCTGTCAAACTGCACAAGATCCAAATGTGACAGTGAGTCTGACTTTAATTTATTTTTTTCTATTAAAATAAATATTGAATTTGTTTATCACCAATGTTATCATATATGTTTAGACCTCCATACACTACAGAGGAGAATCGGCTGCGAGGTGGATGCAGGGATGAATGTAAAAGCGTTTGATGAGTACAGATATGATGGAGAGGATTTTATTGCCTTTAATTCTGACACGAGGCAGTGGACGGAGAAACATCCAAAGGCAATAGAAACCAAAATGAATTGGGACGCTGACAAACTACATAATCTGTATCTCCAGTCATTCCTCGAGACGTGCAAGGACTGGATCTCCACGTATGACTCCATAAGCAGTATGTGTTGTTCTCATGACTTTTTCTTTATCATTTTCAAAATGTCTCTTGATTACACAGCAAATGGAATTAGCGAATTAAAAATATAACTTTCTCAAAAAAAAGTGCATGAGTCATAATGATTTGTGTTGAATTTTTTTCTAGTGTGTAGAATTAATATGGAATATTGTTGCAGTTTGATTTTCTTCCTGGTGTTTGTGATTGCAGATGCTCCAGATGTTCACATGTTTGCGTCTGAAGCTCCTCATGACCGAAGCAAGCTGAATCTGAGCTGTCTGGCCACCGGCTTCTACCCCAAACACATCGAGATGAAGATCACACTGAACGGCAGAAACCTCGAAGCCTTCAGCTCTACAGGAGTCAGACCGAATGATGACGAGAGCTTTCAGATGAGAATCAGTGTGGAGATTCACAGAGACGAAGAAGAGAGTTACGAGTGTCACGTCTCTCACAGCAGTCAGACACAGACACTTATAATAAAATGGGGTAAATATGATAGTAAATCCTGTCAGAAGTTAACTTGCAGATTTATAATTATGACATATTCACCTGTATTTGTGATTGTAGCTCAGTCAGATTTTCTCAAATTAAATTTATAGATTTCATGTTGTTATGAATGCATAAAAACTGTAAAAAGACTGTTGTTGGTGTTTTCTTACAGATGAAAAACACACTAATAGCAGTGAAGAATCTCGAAGGCATGATTTGGCAGTAACTGCAGCTGTCTTTGCTCTGATAGTTTTTAATGTGTTTCTATGGTGTTTCTGCACAGGAACGGCACACAAAGAGTTAAATGGTAAGTTTGAAACTACTGTATTTTCACCTAAAAATTACAATCATCCTCACGTTGTTTCAAAACTTTCTTTTTTTTCTACAAAACTGAATTATACTTTTGTCCCTGCAATGAAGTCAGTGGAGTGCAAAATAACATTGGACCCCATTGACTTTCATTGTGTGGACTAAAGAAAAACACACTCTTCAAAATAATACATTTTTATTTTATTATCTTTTGAAGATACATTTGTAATGCAGATAAACTGCGTTAAAATTCAGTGGCATAAAAGCTTATGAATTGTGAAACATAAAACAGTGAACAATTACAAAGTCGGCATGAGCTCAGATTAATGCTAAAGTTTGCTAAAGTCTTGTATTTTATAATCTCTAGGCCAGATGAACTTTAATGGCTCTAGCAGAAGAGAGAACGTCATCTCAGGGTCACCAGAACTACGGAAGCCTGTTGAACCAAACCGGTTTCAGTGGCTACTCGGGTAAGTTTGGGCAAACTCAGTTTTTTCAGGCTCACCTTTTAGTGATGTTCATCAAGATTTGATACTTGACTTTAAGTCCGAGAAGGTATTAATGCAGGTTTGTTTTCCTGCAGGCCGAAGAATGTGTGTTTATGTACGTCAGTGAAGCCAGAAGAGGATCTTCCTACATTTATGAGGTTCTTTCATGAAAACACATCTCAGGGTTTCAAAATTAGAATTTCATTTCACCGCTCTGATCAGACCAAATAATTTGTACGCTTCAGTGGTCAATATATTAGTTTTTTTGTTGTTTTATATGGAGCCAGTTGTACCAGTGCCATTGAAATATTTAGAAAAGCCTCCGACCAGGAGCATGTATGATATTTCTGTTTGCATGCATTTACATTTTAAGAAAGAACAAGAAAGAACATGTGAATAACTGACTTATAAGCGGCTCTTCAGCACAAAAGCGATCCTTGCCAAAGTTCAACAGTGAAAACGATAGTGTTGCTCCAGGTACAGCAGGAAAACCACTTTAATGGTCCAGCAAATTAAGTACAAAACTAGTTACAAACAAACATGATCTGTTCTGTTTTGTGCACTTTAACCCTAAAACCGTATTCTGGACAAATGTGGGCAAAATAGTTTTGATTTATTTTTTAAAAATACTTCCCTTGATCTGAGCGCTACAAGACTTGGCTACTTTTCCTAAATTTGCCTCCTGAACACACTTTTTTTTTTTTGACTCAATTCTACAATGTTAAGTGCGTGAAAAAAAACTCCTTAATCTTGTATTTGGGTCAAAAATGGGCACCCATAGAAATGAATGGGAAAAACTGTAATTTAGAGCATAAGCCAAAATAAGACACCAGGTGACGGCAAAGTCTCTTCATCTTTAGGTTTTAGCTCTAAGAACTTATTGGAATGATATTTTAATGTAGTTAAAAAATTTAAAAAATAAAACTACATAGTAATTCATTTACATAGAAATAAATTACATTGAAAATATGGTACTTTTTAAAGTAAATAAATTCAAAAATACCCCCAAAATAAATAAAAAAACACCATAAATGGATAGACAAAATTTTATCGAAGACAGTGATATAACATTTATAATAAATAAAAATTAGGATCACACCTGAGTCCTCTGTGCCCACATTTTTCCACAATTACAGGATTAAGGGCTATAAAGTGAATACGGTTTGAGGGCTACGCCATGTTTCCCAACTCTGGTCCTGTTTGATCCCTGCGGCAAATGTTGAGTTGGGAAACACTGATTTAATCGTCACTTTGAGCTATCTACTGGTGAAACTCGAAAAATTAAGAATATCGTTCATTTCAGTAATTCATCTTAAAGGGTTAGTTCACCCAAAAATGAAAATTCTGTCAGTATTTACTCGCCCTCATGTTGTTCCGAACCTCTATGTGTTTATTTGTTCTGCTGAACTCAAAGGAAGATATTTGGAAGAATGTTTTAATCAAACAGATCTCAATCCCCATTGACTATAGTAGGAAAAAATAGTCCATGGGGAATGAGATCTGTTTGATTAAAAATAGGAAGAATCGCCGACAACTCTGTCTAGCACGCTGTGCGCAAACTACGTTTCACAACAAACACACGCGAGATGTGACGAGGAAACAACGCGACACCACACGTGCAAGACCGGAGTTCTCACTTTTTTCTTTTTCGACTTGTGTTGTGTTGTGGTACAGCTCAGATGAAACGTCAAACAGACACGAGTGCTCCTGCCAAATTTATACTAATTTTCTTCCATTTCTTGTGTCCAAATAGCCATTTTTCTGAAACAATGCCATGTGAACTCCTCTCCGAACTCCCGCTGCTCTGAATCTTGCTCTCTCATTGGCTGTCGGTAATCGCCGATGTAGTTTTCAGTCAAAACACTTTTCACACAGCAGGATCTTGAATCGCCGACAGGTCCAGATATTTAGCATGCCAATTATCTCACGGGCGTCGGCGACTCGTCGGTGATTCTCTCAGATCGCGTCTTTGCTCATTCGCACTGCGTGATTGTCACTCGCATGAACAAGCGCCGATTTGCCCGTGATTTCGCTCATTTGTCGGAGATTTCTCAAAACCTGTCGGCGAGCCAAAATTGTGCCTAAAATCGTGCAGTCTGAACTCGGCATTACATAAATTACTATATCCTTCTTCACACTGAATAATAATACATGTGATTCACTCGGACTGATAAATAATATTATGGATGAATGCTATTTTAAAGGTTCCTAATTTAGTAACAAAAGGTTTTACAGCCATCAAAAAATAAATGCATCAAAGGTTTAATTTCCTAATATTATAGATTGCACATCAACTCATTTCTAGAAAGAGACTGAAAACGGTTCATTTGAAGATTCGGTTTCTCTAAACCCCTCCTTTCTGCGAGCTACTCTGCTCTGATTGGTCAGATGCCCCAGTGTCGCCGTCAGCCAGGCTGGCATTATGCAAATGTGTTACACTGTTGCATGTGACAGGAAGTGAGACTGGAATTACTGATGACTCGTTTCAGCAGTTCAGAATCGATTCTTTCGATACGTTTATTTGTCGTGAACTTTGATCTTTAAAACTTCAGATATTTTACATTCACAAACAGCTCTATTATTACGGGCTACATGAAAGGTAATATCCCCAAAAAGCATATAGGGGCACTTTAACATGCACCATCTTTAATGAGGAAAATTCATTGGTCAATTGAATCACCAATGCTGTATCTGTAAGATTAGGGAGTTTAATGAATTATTGTTGACTGATTAATTGCTGTTTAAAATTTCCTTGAATAAGCTAACCCAGATATGAGATAATTTGTGTCATTGCCTGTACCGTACCGAACGCCCTGTATCCGTTCATGAACTGTTGCTAATATATAGATGTGTGTTTTGAGGTATAAACGTCAATTATTTGAATGAAAATCGGTTATTAATAATCTGGAGAATTCCTTACAGTATTTAAGTAGCAAAAACTTAACTTTTATTTAATCCCTACAGACATATTACATATTATATGTACAATAGCTTCAGAAACAACTGGACCTTACATTTTTTGTGTAAAATATATTGAATGCGTTCATTTCATTTGCTTTCAGAAGACCTCACTGTTAAATGTTAAAGTATCAAGTGTTTTTGTCTTTTATATTTTCATACACTGTCTGTTTAGTGTTTGTTTTTCATATTTGTTTGAACTATTTTCTTTGTTCGTCATGAAGCTGCAACTTGTTTGCAAATATACAATTATTTAAATACCAATAAACCACTTTAAACCTGAAACTTCTCCTTTATCAGTGTGTTTTTACAGGTGAGGTTTTCTTTATTTGTAGGTCTAAGGATGCTCGATAACTTCCGCCGATCGTAGAGTCCAATGCAATACCGAGAATTTATATTGAATTTTATTCTCCATGGTTATACTAAAGAAATTAGTCACAAAAACAGATAAAACACCCCTCGTTGTGTTTATGCTTCTTTTTAAAATTATATTCAATAAACATAACTATATATAAAATTACATCTAAATGTATGTACGTTTCGTTTCAAAGACGGGAGGACAGTAAATTTTGAAGACTCTGCCATAATCCCGTTTTCCTCGGTTTTCCTCCGCTTTAATCTCCACAACCGGAAACTTAATCCCCCTTGGTAATGGGACTACAATGTTTTCTTCTTTTTAGATTTTTTTTTTTTATAATATATATTTATAATCTATAATTTATAATTATAATATTTTTTTAGATATACTTTGAAGACCCATAATGTTGTGTATGAATATGATAATAATATAATTATACATATATTGAGGTATTACCATCTGGTTTAACACAGTATTATCACAGATCATTTTGTAATTGAAATGGTAGAAACAGCATTGACAATTTATCATGGTCTCATAGTTTGGTTTATTTATTTATATATAAGTACTTTTACTTTGTCAGGTTGAGATGGAGAAAACAATGGCATGAATAATTATGAAAAGATGAAAATAAATTTGTTAAACAAGCATTATAATTGTACATTATCATTTACAATTAAAGCTACAAATTTAAGATTTTAATAATAATAGATTAAATAAATGATGAAAAAATAGCAAAACAATATTTTCAATTATATACATAATATTTATTGAGTATTTCAAAATTAGGGCTGTAATTTCATTGATTGTGTTTGACAGGTGTGATGATCAGTGGAGTTGAGTTTTTACCTCTATCATTATTGTGCGGGTTAAAATATGGATAGAGTTTCCCAGTGAAAGACTGATGAGTGAAAGAGTAGAGATGAGAGCTGGACTCCACATCATAAAAGGAGACCAGACCCTCCTCATAATCCACAAACACACCGACCCGCTGCAGCTTCTCTATCACACACAGAGAGACATCAGGATCAGCACAGGCGCAATATTCATTCCCATTATTCAGCCACACAGTCCAGTATCCATTACTGGGAGTCAGTGTGATCACTCCCTTCCTGTCAATGGATTCTCTGGCCACTCCTAAAGACCAGCCAGTCTTTCCCTTCACCTGCACCTCAAAATAAAATCTCCCTGAGGAGAATCCCTCCTTTCCCAGGACACATAAATATCTATCAAATCTCTGTGGTGTGTCTGGGAGTTTCTGTGTTGTGTTTCCATCTCTCACTTGTTTTCCATCATCAGACAGGATGAGATTAGGATGAGCTGTATCAGGATCCAGAGTCACATCCACTGAGAAAACAGACAATATGAATCACAGACTTTAGTGCTGATGTGTGTAATATGTAATGAGTGTGTGATCATACTGTCGGTCAGTGATGAAGCTGTGAGTATCTGAATGTAATCTAGTGTAGGTCAGACACACACTGTACCTGCATACTGCTGTCTCCACTTCACTTCTGTAGAGACTAAAAACAAGAAAACATCAGCAGATCTTTCACATGTTTATGAGTGTAATTATACAACTTAAAGATTTAACAATATATTTAAAGAATTGTGAACAAGATCATGTTTTATCTGATCAATGTCTCTCTGCTGATATTTAGAGAATCCCTGAACTCCTGTTGTGTTTGAGCTCCAAATATTCCTGCTTTTTACAACATCTTTGGGAATGTTTTGTAAAACATTTTATGACATTTTTAATTCAGATATTTTTATGCCTAATGTTATTCATCTCAGTTTTGGAGTGGATTAGTGTTGTGGTTATTCAGCAAAGACAAGTTGTAAAAGTGTTCACAGACGCACTAAAGCCTCGTGGTTCTGGTTTCAGTGATGAAGCTTCTAGTACAAGATGAATTTACTGCATGTTTTCTGAGATCAGTAAATGATCACACACTTCTCTTATTTCACCTTGAGACTCATTCTTCATTACTGATATTAAAGATGATAAATATATGTATCTGTACGGTGTGTTTGATATTGCTGTACCAGTGTGTGTGAGTTTCTCCTGTAGAGAGTCCTGCAGTTTAATCAGAGCTGTCCTCAGAGTCTCCAGACTCTCATCAGTCTTCACACTGATCTCAGACCAGTTCCTGGTGTTTGTGGAGCTGCACAGGGACGAGTAAATCTACAGCAGGAGAGAGAGAGGAGAAATCCTTCAGCATGGGGAGTGTTCTGGTGTCATTATCATTGATCAGAGAGATGTTGACTGACCTGTAGGAGGTGGAGGTGATCTTCAGTGTGTGAGAGCTGCTCCAGCTCAGTGTTTCTCATCTTTAGCTCAGTGATCTCCTGCTCCAGCTCTTCAATGAGCTCTTCCTCCTGTTTCTCTGCTGCTTTCTGCTGCTCCTCCATCATCTCCAGCAGTTCAGTCTGACATCTCTCAATGGAGCGGATGAGATCAGTGAAGAGCTCCACACGGGCTGCTTTCTCCTTCTCTGTGTTTCTCTGATCAACAACACATTATTAGTGGACGTTTGATCACTGTTATTATTTCTACTTCAGTGTTTTCAAAATCCCTCATTCTGCAGCGTTTGCACTGAATTATGGGAGGAGGATTGAATGTGTCAATGTGATGTCGTGTCTGCTGCTTATATAATCTGCTCATGATGATGATTGACAGCACTGGATGTTTAGGCTCCTCCTGAACCTTCGTTTTCTAGTCAAATTTAAACTCACTTTTCTGACTTCTGCTGAGTGTTTGACGTCTTGAATCTTCTTGATTCTGTCCTGGATCTCCTGCTGTGTGTCTTTCTGTGTCTTCATCAGTTGAGTCTATAGACAGAGAACAACACATAATATGTTTTCATAACTGATTCATTTATATTAAAGAACATGTGATTCCTCATGATAAGAGCCATTTATGATCAGTTTGTCATGAACTTCTACCTTCTTCTCTTCACTCTCCTCTTCTAGAGGAACAGTGTTGTGGGTCTTGTGGTCTTCCAAAGCACACATCGGACACACACACGTCTGATCATCTCTACAGAACAGCTCCAGAGGTCTCTCGTGTTTCTGACATATATAGTCCTCCAGATTACTCACAGGATTGATCAGTTTGTGTTTCTTTAAACCTGCCACTCTCAGATGACGGTCCAGGTGAGTTTCACAGTAAGAGCTCTGACACACCAGACACGACTTCAGGGCTTTCTGCTTTCTGTCCTCACAGATGTCACACACAACTTCAGCTTTTTTCACAACTTCAGCTTTATTCACAACTTCAACTTTTTTCTCAGGACTTTTCTTTCTATAGTGATCTGCGATCTCTCGGAGTGTGGTGTTGATCTTGAGATCAGGTCTGTGCTTGAATGTTTCTTTACAATATGGACAGTTGCAGGTCTGGCTGTTGTCCCAGCACTTATTCAGACAGGTCTTGCAGAAGTTGTGTCCACATGGAGTGGTGACTGGATCAGTGAACACGTCCAGACATATCGAGCACTGAAGATCCTCAGTCAGTGGACCGCTGGAGGAAGACATGTCTGGAGAGAGAAATGATGAAGGTAAATCACAAGTGTAAAGTCGCCTTGTCATCTTGTTGAGAAAATGTGCAGAGATTAATTCTAAACAATGAGTGTCTATTTTCAATACAAGATATAAGAAATATTTAAGTGGATTATTGACTCACTTGGAGGTTCATTCATACTCCCTCTCCTTTTTCGTATTTTAGTTGATGATGGGAAAGATTCTGCCATTGTTCTTCACCTCTTTATGACTTTTCAAGGCAAAAGAAAACAACAGAATAATCTTAAATAGGAAGTAATGTTTGTATTAAAGGGCAAGTACAGATAACCGTTCCCCTGAAATGAACATATATTTTGTATGGCCAAGAGAATTTAATTTTGATTTAAGTAAATGTGATATTCAGCTGCTGTATATTTAAAATTAAATAGTTTTAATACAATTCTGAAACCATTTCAGCGCAGTAAACTTTATTGTAGAAGAAAAGTTCCTTTCAAAACAGTGAGTGTATTCATAAAATAACTGAACATTTGCTAATTTACTATGTTTAATGTTAATTTAAACTTCTTTTAAAAATTATTTTCTGACAAAATGTCTTCCCACAAAATAAACTGATGTAAGTATTATTTCATCTTGTCAAGACGTGTGTCTGGATTCAGCCTTAAGGTGTTTGACACATTTGTGCACAAAACTGTTTAACAGGTTCAGCAGGTTTTTCTGTGGGGTCAAGGGTCACATATGCTTCCTGTTTCTTTAGTCTTTATGTCGCGTGACAAAAATAAAGAAAACCCAAACTTTACTTCACAACTAATCACATGACATATTTAAAGACAATTCTGACCATTTCAGTGCAGTAAACAACTACAGGAGTTGAGTGAGTATTTGACATGATTAAACCATAGAGTCAGTTATTGCATAATTAAATATTATGTGAAGTCTTTAGAAATCGCAGTTCTTTAGGGGTTATCGGTCTGACTTTCGGTATTAAAATAAACCAACCTGCGTTTTCATGTAACTGACTTTAACTGAAAAGTTATGGACTTTAGAAAAAAGATTCACTTGTAAGACTAGTCTTATGCAAACGGACTCTGATTCTGTTCAACTTTTGTTTGACATAAACCTATAAACCAGATCACTTCCATTCAACCTGTTCAGCACAATCTCTCTTATATTTCTATCTCTTACCTGTGAGTATCAGATGTGTCCACAACACTCTTTGATCAGTAAATATTCTGTTGTTTAAAGAGGTTGATCGATTCTGGCGTCCATTTTACTGTTGATCAAGTTAGTTTCACTTTCTCTGAATCTCTCTATGCACTAGTGACGTCAGAGCTCCTCCTGTATTCACATTTACATTTGTCCCCTGTATTGAGAAGCCTCTCGCTGCATGCTGTAGTTGCCCTGTATTGAGAAGCCTCTCGCTGCATGCTGTAGTTGCCTGTATTCGGTGTGTTTGGTTCGTGTGTGTGTGTGTGTGTGTGTGTGTGTGTGTGTTTGTATTGGGACTGATGTTCAGTAGACCTAAAAAAGCTGGATTGTTTGGCAAGAGTTTCCAGGACAAATACTGCTCAACTTACACAGTCATCAGTGGAGAAAGTCTGGCACGTCAGTAAAAGCTTTTATGTCATTGTCAACCTCTGTAAGTTATATGCAGTGAATGCCAGTGTTTCTGCGGGTGTCGTCTCTCACAGATCCTGGTTCAGGATGGCGTTATGTACAGAGACGATCATAAATGATGTTTCTTGTGTTCGGGTTGTAAAGTCCAGCTGGCCGGACACTCTTTCACAACGCAGGGTAAAGAGATCCGATCTGTGTGAAGTGCTTCAGTAACCAATAACAGTCGCCTAACAAACCCATCACAGGTCAGTGTGTGTTAATGTGTCCTTATAACAAGAGCGCTCCTCATTAGCAGTTCTTTCCAACAGTGAGAGACCGTTGTCATATAAACAGGGTCATGTGTGTGTTTGAGGATGTTGAGTGTGTTTGAATGAAGTTCTTGAGTATCGGGACTCGAGTGTCTCATCCACCGGCTCATGCACTATGACAATATAATATCTAACTCAAATATCAATATCAAATATTACATTATCAAAACTTTGCGGACTCGTTTTGAACGAATCAGTTGATGCTTCTATGACTCGTACATTAAGACGGTGATTTGGCGTCCCCTATTGGCGGTTTTAATATAATATTTAAAAATATATAGTTTATTATAATTTTTAAATTTATAGGCTAATCATTAATCTCACAACAGTATTTATGGTGTTGTAATTGCAGTGTGAAAAAATGGTAGAACATAGTTAGAAAAAAATGCCCCTGGAAATCCATTTAAGGGGTCAAATATGGGCTCTTAATGGGAAAGTTAACATATGCCGGTGATATTCCATTAAAATATATAAACAACGTTAAATGTATAAGGAGGGTAATTTCTGATGGAAAAATAAATAAGGTTGAGGCCAATACAAATTTAACTTTTTTACTTTTCATAGAAGAAAATTGCTTGAGAAAAAAGTGTTTAGTACAACTGCAGCAAACATATTTGCTATAGGCTAAATTGGTTAAAATCGCTTTTCTTAAAACGTCATTATAGCTCCATAAAATTCAGTTTAAAAATGTATAATAATGAATAAATCATATTGTAATTATTTTATATAAAATATTAGTCACAAATGAATCCTTTTGCGCAAGTGAAGGGAAGAGTTTCTCTTGACCAATCAGCGTTCAGAGCGGAGATTTTACCTGAGCAGGAACACGAGCACCTGTGTGAAGATCTCTGAAGCTCGTGTGTGTGTGAGGACACTCAGGACAGTCGTGCACCACTATAAGTTTCGGGAAAACACACAGATAATGGAGACTAGCGGTGTTGTGTTTGTCTGTGTGACCTTCCTCAGTCTGTGTACAGGAGCGCGTGGCGGTAAATATGATATTTTTGCGCGCGTTGTGGATCTGGTGTCTCCAGGCGAAGAGTTCCTCACAGAAGACGCGCTTCTCTCGGTGCTCGAGCGGCTGGAGAGGCGCGTGCACTGCTCCGGTGTGTCCTGCGGGAAGGTGAGACGGGTTTCAGGAGTTTGGGGGAAGTCGAGGTCCAGCTGAGAGAATCGGGTAAATGATAATTAAAGGGACAGTACACTAAACTTAAATAACAATACAAAAATAATAATATTAATTATGCAAATACTGTGTTTCCCATGATCTAATCTTAAGCTACATATATTCAAATATATATGTATTCCTATATTAACTATACACGTTTGGCGTGATCATAAAAATACACTATTTTTGATATTTCTCTGGTGCTTGTTTTTTATGCAATTTTCACACAAAAGTTTTCCGAATATGAATAATAATTTAAAACGTTAAAATGATAACTTTTTTATTTTACTTTTTACTAACAAATCTCTTTTCCAGATTTTTTTTTACAGTTTCCTGACTAGATATCATGTTTTTTTGTCGACAGAATGAAAGAACAGTGACACTGTAGCCTATTCATGACATAATGATTGATATAATCTGTGTTATAGATCTATTTTGAACAAGAGACAAGGAAGTATCTCATGCAATATGCCAAGAACAGGTCATATTTGACCCTAAAATGAAAATTTGGCTTATATTTTAGATCTGGGTCCAATTCTCACTATTTACACCAACTTTTGCCTCAAACTCCAAAATTCCTGCTTATTAATAGTTAGTGAGGTAGGCTAGTTGTTAAATTTAGGTATTGGGTGAATTAAGGGACGTAGAATATGATCAAGACATTAAGATGTGCTTTTTAAGTACTAAACAGCCAATATCATAATATTCATACTAATAAGACACGTTAATAACTAAACTAAAGTGTTACCTAAATAAATAAAGAAAATAAGGCCTATTTAAGGATCATTAAGTGATTGCATTGTGACATCATTTTCATGACAACTAAGCACATTTAATGTCAGAAAGTAAAGATTGTTTATTACACAGTATGTTATGAATGTTTAGATGATCATTTATATTCAGTTTCTGTATCAGAAACTGCTTTTCTGGTTCTACTAGTTGGCATCTTATTTTTGGCATCGTTCTCAGAATCATTCCTGAATGCTGTGACTTCTTATTTTAGTGAGCATCTCTTCCTGGAGAAGAACACTCCCTCCATTGTCTGACTGTTTACTAAATTAATGTAACGCATGTCAGAAATCACATGAGTATCTTTACATGTATTAAAGGGTTAGTTCACCCAAAAATGAAAATTAAGTCATTAATTACTCACCCCCATGCTGTACCAACCCCGTAAGACCTTCGTTCATCTTCGGAACACAAATGAAGATATTTTTGATTAAATTTGAGAGCTGTATAACTACCACATTGGCTCCTAAAAGACTGGCTCTTGACGGCCCAGAAAGTCAATGAAGAAAATGTTTAAATATCCCAAGTGACCGTGGCTCAACTATATGTTTATCAAGCGACGCGAATACTTTTTGTGCGAAAAAACAAACAAAAATAACGAGTTTATTCGACTATTTCTTTTCTTCCTTGTAGGCCAGAACGAGACTTCCTTATAGATTTCCACGACGCATGCGCGAGAATTGCGATCTGCTCACACCAGCTCACACTACTTCAGATCGCAATTCTCGCAATTCAGCTCTCAAATTTAATCAAAAATATCTTCATTTGTGTTCCGAAGACGAACGAAGGTCTTACAGGGTTGGTACAGCATGGGGGTGAGTAATTAATGACTTAATTTTCATTTTTGGGTGAACTAACCCTTTAAAGGCAAACTGAAAGTGCACACACACACACACACACTGTCTCTGTGCTGTTTAGTGTCTGTCTGTCGAGCGTCTGCAGCAGATATTGAGGAACTCCAGCGGATCTCAGGAGCTTCAGATGCAGGACTTCTTCACGATGGCTCCTGCGTTGTGTCTGTTCCTGAGCGCTCCGATGGAGACCTGCAGGGCCGTACGAGAGGGACGCTGGGACACAGAGACACACCGGTTCATCCAAACCATCTCAGACCTCAACCACACCAGCCGGCCTCCTCACCAGGACGTCCCAGAACATCAGGGTTTGGAAAAGCTGTTCCATGAGATGGAGATACACTATCAGCCCGACACACATGAGGTCAGGAAGCTTCAGGATCATAGTATACTGGTGGAACTCGAAATATTAGAATATCGTGCAAAAGTTAATTTATTTCACTAATTCAACTTAAAAGTTGAAACTAATATATTATATAGACTCATTACATGCAAAGTTAGATATTTCAAGCCTTTATTTGTTATAATTTTGATGATTATTGTGAAAAGGTTTTTTATAAGCTGTACGCCATAATAATCAAAATTATAACAAATAAAGGCTTGAAATATCTCACTTTGCATGTGATGAGTCTATAATATATTAGTTTCACCTGTATATCAGAGTTTCATGGTCTTGATCCACATCTGTTATTATGTGCCTGTCCACATCTGTAGTCGTGTCTCTCTCTGAATGCTGTCCTGGACGAGAGCGGAGGTCCTCCCGTAGAGCTGGACGCTGTGTTGGGGAACGTCCTCTATCATGTCCTGCGTGGAGACTGTCTCAGAGCTCGTGTTCTTCCTCACAACGGATACTTTCTGGATTACATCTTCAGCCATTTTGGCTCTGATAACCTCACGCTTCATGGTATGACGGACTGATAATCCTGATGATGTTACACTAACCTGGAAATGTTTCATGTGGGAACATTCGGTTTTGTTTAAGTTAAAAGTATAATTTTAGTATCATTAATATACTATTAAAGTTTTTATAAATATTTTGAATGTTTTTATATTTTCTATTTTCATTTTAGTTAAAGTTTTAGTAATTTTGTTGTGTTTTTATCATTTTTTTTATCAGTTAAAAAATATTTCTATATGGGTTTTATTCATTTATATTTCAGTGTTAGTACTTCAATATTTTAGCATCTTTGAGATGCTATTATATATTATATTTATTGTTATTATTTTTGAAATAGCTGTCATATTTATATTTTCCATTTTCATTTTAGTTAAAACGTCAGTAATTTTGTTAGTAATTTAAAAAAATAAGCCAATTTAAATGAAAATGAGAAATTCTGTCTCGGCAACCAACTGAAATAAAATATAAAGCAAATTAAAAAAATATATATATTTATTTATTAAAAATATAAAAATATTTATTTATTTCGAGTTAAATGTCTTTTTTATGGTTTTAGTTTCAGTTATAATAAAAACCCTGAGTTAAAATAAATGAAAATGAGAAATGTTGCCTTGGCTGAATTAAAAATAATTATAAAGGTGTTTTTTTTATTTCAGTTAACATTTATTTTATATCAAATGACAAAAATGTATTTTTTTGCGGTTTTAGTTTTCTTTTTTTCTTGCTCAGGTCAGGTACAAATGGCACTTTTCACTTAAAAAGAGAGTATATCTAAAGCACATTATAGTTTCCTCAGATCAGTGTTTAGGTTTCTGTGTTCTACATTTATGTTTATGCATTTGACGCTTTTATTCAACGCACAATTTTTACCAGTTCATGCATCCCCTGCCAAACCCAAAACCTTGGCTATAGCAAAAACATTAATATGGAGCTACAAATGTTCTCCTGGGTGGAGTATAAGTGTGTTTAAACACATTCATGTTCTTTTGAGTTTCTGAAGTACTTTAATGTCCAATAGTTGGTTTGAAGCTGGACGTTTGCGCTCTATTTTTAATGATGCTTTTGTTCCTCAGATTTTGAGGAGCTTCTGAAGATGCTAAATCTGGGTGGAGAAGAAGACGATCACGATGATGTCCACCTCGAGCCTCATCAGGAGGATCACCATAAGAACAGCAGCTGGGATACAGTACGACACAGCCGTGTTTGTGTGGGGCATCATGGGAAATCTTTGCATGCTGTAGAACTCTGATCATTTAGATGTAGAGCGATCATTCGGCTGAGCGAGCTCTGTAACATGACATATCAACATGAATAATTGATGTTTAGCTCTCTTGAGTGATGTTGTGACATAATGTGCAATCTGAGACCATGCAATCTGTCCGTAATGATAATCAGTGAAATTAAGCCGTTACAAGTGCTAATTTTTCACATTTTTGTGAAAAAACACAACATTTCAAACTTCAAACTGAATCTATATAAATATATATTTAGCCTGTCATTTGACATCCATGCAACTAATAAATCAGGGAGTTGTACACACTAAAGCATGCATGCTTATCTGAACAATGAAAGTAACTGAAGCCAAATTATATATGTTAATGATATGCATAAAAAAGTCTCATGGTTGTTTTGCCTGTAGACGTGTTTCAGCGCTGAAGACCTGCTGAGGATCTACCAGCTGAACTCTTCATCGCTGACCAGAGATCAGTTCACACAGCTCAGTCCTGCTCTGATCCAGCAGATCCTCAGCGGAGGCTGTTCTGAGATCAGTGACACACACGCGACCGCTGATTCTCTGAGCGCAGCCGAGAGTGAGTGACAGATCAGCTCTGAACAGTTAGTCTGAACTGCATAGATCAGGTTTTGACTATCCATATAAAGTCCAGAAACATGTTCTAATCAATATGTCGTAACAAACCTCAGTTCTCAAGCTTCCTTCAAATGTCTGTGCAATCATAGTTTCACTATTCAGGCAGCCGCTATAAACACGTCATTTTAACTAACTTTAACTACAGCATTGAGATCCTCTTTAAATTGTTTGTCTGCCATGACAGTAGTTGAGCTGAAGGCGAATGTTATGAACTGTATTATGAATTGGGAGTGACAAACATCAATATAGTTGACCAGACATTTAAATAATTGCAAATAAACTAAAAAATTACAGAAATTAAATTAAGATTCATTATTTAATCAACATCTGAAAACAGAAAATGTGCATTAAAATCTAGGTTTTTAATTAAATGTGACTTCTGTGCAAGGCTATAAGAACTGGTCAATGTTATTTGAAAATAGCCAAATATTAATCTGTCTGTGTGATATTTATATTGGTGTCACTACTATATGTACATATTTCCATTTTACAAAATAATTTATGCATTAAATGTATCAAAAACAACAGTGAAGACATTTATGTTACAAAAGATATCAAATTTAAATAAATCCTAAAAAATATGAAGCAGCAAAACTTTTCAACACTGATAATAATCATAAATGTTGATTTCTGAAGGATCATGTGACACTGAAGACTGGAGGAATGATGCTGAAAATACAGCTTTGATCAAAGGAATAAATTACATTTTACAATATATTCACATAGAAAAAGTTATTTTGAATTGTAATAATATTTCACTGTTTTTCTGCTTTTCAGCAGAAGAGACTTCTTTCAAATACATTTTTAAAAATCTCACCGACCCCAAACTTTTTAACTGTAGTGTAATATCTAATGGCAACAATTTAAATGTGAAAAATGTATAGTTTAGTTTGTCAGAAAGTAAAAATTGTTTATTACACAGTATGTTATGAATGTTTAGATGATCATTTATATTCAGTTTCTGTATCAGAAACTGCTTTTCTGGTTCTACTAGTTGGCATCTTATTTTTGGCATCGTTCTCAGAATCATTCCTGAATGCTGTGACTTCTTATTTTAGTGAGCATCTCTTCCTGGAGAAGAACACTCCCTCCATTGTCTGACTGTTTACTAAAACCAGTGTGAAGACGGCACACCTGTGAACGATCTCTTGATATGATCCCTCAATGAGTGCTTTGTGTCCAGGATATGGATACGCCACCCTCGCCAACATCCTCATCTGCCTGATGGCCATGTTTGGGCTGGTGGTGCTGCTGTTCTCCAGGTGTACGCAGGTGTTCCAGATGTGCATCCAGTTCTGCATCAGCCTGGCTGTGGGATCCCTCACAGGAGACGCTCTTCTGCATCTGCTTCCCTCGGTAGGCCGACTCACACGTGTCTGAATAGGATGGGCTTCATTTGTTCTCATTGCTTTTTTGTGCCTGTAGTTTTTAGGTCTTCATGCACATAAAGATGGACACGGGCATGAGGAGGAGAACCTCGACTACGTTTATAAACTCCTGGTGGTCGTTGGCGGCATCTATGTCTTCTATCTGATGGAAGCCGTATTCTCCATCATCACTCGACACGGTCGTCATCATGATGGAGTGAGTGACCGAGTCTGAAGCGTTAGAAAGGCTCTATATAGAAGCTTAAAGGGTTCTTTCAGGCGCTTCTTAGAATCATTTTGATGGTTTTTAGTCTAAATAATTTAATGAATTAAACCGCACATTAACATACTGTACTTCATCACTAGAAAAAATGAAATTGACCCATTAAACATGAAAGTACTTTGCAATCTTTTCACCTTATAAAGAACCTTTTTGCCAAAATTGAGTCTAGAACCCTAGGAGTCTATATAACCCCAGTGCACACTGCAAATGAAACAATCCAAGTCTTACTGAGTATTTTTGTCTAATTTTCCAGTAATGATTTCTTAAAACCCTTAAAACGAGATAAATAAATTATAAAATTCAGAAGCAACAAGATAAGACAAAAGATTAAGACTTGTTGACTTAAACACGCATACCATTAAAAAGTCTGGATTACACTTTTATTCAGCTTTGATGCATTAAATTGACCAAAAGTAAGAGTAAATACATTTATAATGTTACAAAAATTAACTTTTAATATCCTTATAAAGAACCTTTTTGCCATGAAGGGTTCTTTAAAAATCGAGCCTAGAACCCTAGGAGTCTATAGAGAACCCCAGTGCACACTGCAAATGAAATAATCCTTATAATAATAATAAATAATAATCTTACTGAGTCTTACTGAGTATTTTTGTCTAATTTTCCAGTAAAAAAATTCTTAAAACCCTTAAAACGAGATAAATAAAGCATGAAATTTAGAAGCAACATAGCAAAAGATAAGACATAAGATTAAGACTGGTTGAATACATTTTTATTCAGCTTTGATGCATTAAATTGACCAAAAGTAACAGTAAATACATTTATAATGTTACAAAAATTACTTCTATTGAACTTTTAATATCAATTAATCCTGATAATATTCATCACAGGTTCCACACAATATAAAGCAGAACACCTTTTTTAAATGAATAGAAAACACTTATTTTATATTGTAATAATATTTCACTGTTTTTACTGTATGTTTGATTAAATAAATGCAGTCTTGGTGAGCAGAAGAAACTTTCAAAAACATTAAAAGAAATCCTTCCGACTGCAAACTTGTGAATGGTGGCATAAATGTGTTTTGATTTTTACTGCACTGATGTGTTTTTTCACTTGTTTGCAGGTTTATTCTTTAAACAACAGAAAAAAATAGTCCACACCACAACTATAACAATAACGGCACAGAGGAACGATATCATTTTTTGATGAGCGATATTAGTGCGAAATGGCATTTTAAGCTTGACTAATAAAAATAGGTGTAGAGCAGACTGGTCCGACTGAAATGTTTTATAATTAGGTTATTAAGAAGGCTCAGGTCATTCTTTGTACATTATTAACTGAGTTTCAGGCCTTACCTTCAGGCCGTCGTTTTAGAGAACAAAAAATGAAAGATTAATGTATGTCTGTGGCTATTAAGATGCTGAACTACCCTGGCCCTGATGAGAGTTTACTTAGCACACAAAAATAATCAATTTATTAAGAATAGTGCCTGGTATTTTTATGTATGTATCCTGTATAATTTTGTTTAAATAAATAAAGCGAGTCTGATAAAAATGTGTCCAAGAGGCAGTAAATAAATAATAAATAAAAGAGGGCCCAAGACTGAGCCTTGGGGGAACACCAGTGTAAATTGCAATGGATAAAAACATTGACAGCCAATCAGAATCCGTCGTGCTTTAAAAAGCTTGAGCATTTAACAAGACAGACGACAAAACTGCAGCTTGCTGTAATAAACAGGAATGATATCGTCCGCTGGTGTGGATGTTGTTACAGTTATCATTATATTTATCTTTTAATTGTATTTTGTTGCTTTGTGCACTGGTATGACTGGCCGCCACATGAGCTGACTTGCCTTAAAGCGTCTCTGTTGTCCTGTTGTAGGAGTCCGACCCTCATCACTGCGATCACAGTAAAGTTCTGCAGATGTTCCAGAGCAGCAGACGCAACAACAGCTCCACCTCACAGGACGAGCTGGTGAGACCGTGTTTCTGTGCCGACGTGGGCCAAATAAACTAGTTATCATGTTACAAATCACTACACACACACTACAGACAATACTAGTTTTCCCTGAGGAGGTCAGGTGTCATCATATTTCACAAACCCAGACAGTAATTGTAAAAAAACAGGAGGTCATTTTAGGATTTACAGATTTTATCATCTTTTTGGTTGTTCTGGCGTTTTTGATTGTTCGTTAAATGAATGGATATTTGATATTTGGGCATTAAAGGTGGATTTCATTTTATTTATTAATTTATTTTTTCATGCAATATCTCTAAAAATTAGACAAAATCCTGTCTGGATATTCAGGAACATCTGTGATTTGGGTGTATAATGTGTTTCCATAACATGTCTGCTTTATTTTGAGGATCAAATACAGTTTATCAGTGCAGAAACATCACAGTCTTCCTCTGTAATCATCAGTTGATACTGTGAGTTCTCATTGATTTCAGGTGAACCAGCAAAACAACGAGAAGTCCTTCCTGGAGCCGTTCAGCAGCGCACGAGGTCAGTTCATGCCTAATGCTCAGTTAATAATCAGCGCTCGCT